GAGTCCTGGTTCCATCTAGGCTTCAATCAATACCCCTTCTACCAGAGCACCCTTGAATCAGGATACTGGAGTTGTAGACCAGAGAGATTTGGACTTTAGAACCTGAATCCATACAGTTCCGGCTGCAATATTTTCAAGCCATAGTACACTGGGCCTCTAGATTTAAGGCTCAGGTGTCCTGGGATAGCGAAGCCCTTGTTCTTTGATGTCCTCAACCACAGAGCCTCTGGGATGTAACACTAACTGACATGTGTTTTATCAGCGTGTAACCAAACTGGAAGAAGGGAAGTATTAAAAACTCTCCCTCCAGCCTTTAGTATATGACAAGGATATACCCAACTCCAAATCTTTTTGTTTTCCTGTCTCATCTAATGCAGGAGAAAAGCTGAAGAGCACTCATGAAGGTCATATTCCAGAGGCACAGGTGCTCTAAAAGCCTAGAGAACTATGGAATGCTTCTTCTCCCCCCCAGTGCATGGCCACCATATCAACTGAGTTCCTCTGTAAAAACAGTAGGTTACAGTTAAAAGAACTGGAAGCCTATATTCTATTTACGAGTCTCTAGGGAAACTCAAGACAACATTAGAGACAAAAACAGGGACCCTAGAAGCAATTTTAGCCACTGACACCTGCAACTGCAGCAACTATCAAACACAACCTAACTCCAATCCAGATAAGCATAGAATCTCACAATGAAGGCCTATTTACCTCTGTTCCTTTTACCTCATACCTCATACCTCATATCTGGCTTTCAACAACAACAAAAAAAATGCATGCCAAAAGGAAAAGCACAGTCTAAAAGTATAAATTAAGCATTAGAACCAGACTGATATGGCAGAGTTTTGGAATTATCAGACCAAGAATTTAAAATACCTTTGACTAATATGCTAAGAGTTCTAATGGGAAAAGTGTACCACCTGCAAGAACAGATGAGAAATGTAAGCAGAGTTTGATACCATAGCAGAGTCAAAAGGAAATGAAAGAATTATAAAACAATGTAACTGGAATAAAGAACGTCATTGCACAGCTCATTAGAAGACTGAATATGGCCAAAGAAAGAACCAATGAGCTAGAAGATACAACAATAGAAACTTCTCAAACTGAAAAACAAAGAAAAAAGAGAATGGAAAAAAAAACAGAATATACATGAACTGTGTACAATTACAAAAGTGTCACATTTGTGTAGTGGGAATACCATAAGGAGAAGAAACAGAGAAAATAATAGAAGAAATATCTGAAGGAATAACAGACACAAATTTTCCAAGATAAATCACATCCATCAAATCACATGTCCAAGAAGCTCAAAGAATACTAAGCAGGATAAATGCCAAAAGATATACATGCAGGCATATCTTATCCAAACTGCAGATAATCAAGGACAAAGAGAAAATCCTGAAAAAAAAAGCCCACAGAAAATAACATCTTACTTAGAGAGGAATAAGAATAAGAATTATATTGGGCTTCCCTTGAGGAAGGAAAAAGGAAAAAGAAAGTGACGTGAAATATTTAGAATGTTGAAGGAAAAAGCCACCTGCTTAGAATTCTGTATATAGCAAAATTGTCCTTCCAAAGTGAAAAATAAAGGCCTTATCAACCAAACAAAAATTGAAAGAATTGTCACCTGTAGGCCTGCCTCACACAGCTAAATGTTGAAAGAATGTCTTTGTAGGGAAGAGAAATGTGGTAGCTCAGATACTTGAATCTACATAAAGAAAGGAAGATTGTTAGAGAAAGAATAAATAAAGGGAAAATAAAATATTTTACTTTTTAATCAGTTGATCTAACAGATAACAATTTCTTCAAAACAATGGTAGCAAAAATGTATTCAGTGAATATAGCTTATTGATAAATGAAATTAATGACAACAATGTGATAAAAGACAAGAGACAGGAATGGACTACTCTCTCAAAAGGTACTTGCACTATACGTGAAGCTGTATATTGTTATTTGAAAGTGGACTTGGAAAGAAAAAAAGAAAGTGGACTTGGATTAGTTGTAAGAGCATATTGCAAACTCTAAGGCAACCACTAAGAAATTTTTTTCTAGCATAACAGATATTCTAAGGGACAAGAGAAAGTGGGATCATACAAAACACTTGATTGAAACCAGAGAAGGCAGAAAAAGAGTAGGAAACAAACAAACAAACAAAAGAACAAGAGAAATGAATTGAAAACAGTTAAAAAGATAGCAAATATTACTCTAACTATATCAGCAATCACTTTAACCATGAATTGACTAAATATAACAACTAAAAGACAGAAATTGTCACTGTTAATTAAAACTAAACAAAACAAAAACAACAAACAAAAAAACAAGACCCAACTATGTATTTTCTATAAGAAATTCATTTTGAATATAAAGACACAGATAGATGAAAAGTAATGGGATGGGGAAAAAAAACATATACCATGATAACACAAATTGAAAACTGGAGCAGCTATATTGATTTCAGACAAATTACACTTCAGAGCAAGTAAATTGTCAAGGATAAATAAATGTATTATATGATGGCAAGGCAGTCAAGTCTCTAAGAAGACACAACAACCTTTAATGCATATGCACTTAACAATAGAGTGTCAGAATGCATGAGACAAAACTTGATAGAACTGCAAGGAGAAATAGACAAATCTACTATAAGTTAGAGACTTCAACTTGCCTATATCAGAAATGGACATATCCAAATCTGTAAGGACACCCTTGAACTGAACAGAATCATCACTCGATTGGATCTGATTGACATCTACACAATGCTTCATTCAACAACAGCACAATACACATTTGCCTCTAGCTCAAACAGAACTTTTGCCAAGACAGACTATACTGTGGGTCATAAAATACACCTTAACAACTTTAAGAGAACATAAATCATACAAAGTATGCTTTCAGATTAAATGGAATAAAAGTAGAAATTAGTAACAGAAAGATGGCTGGAAAATCTCTAAGTAATAGGAGAGTAAATAACATACCTCAGAAAACATAATCTGTCCCTGGATAACAGGAGGTTCTCAGGAAAGGCTATCCTCTATCTCTCAGCCTTCTCAATGAAAACAAGAATATTGTGCTCAGTTCCTGATGTCAGAATATGTGACCTATCTCCTGAATTCATCTTATGGCAGGAAAGATTCTGATCCACTTAGAAGCATTCAAGATATCTTCTGTCAGTTTAAGATGTAGAAAAAGGCAGGCCACAAGTATCCTTCCTGTGGTTTCTAGAATCCATACTGATATAAAGGGTTGAAGGTATATATTGTGCTTAAAATCACTGGATTTAACACTTCCAAAATATGGATTTGAGTCCCTGGTACATCAATGACTAGCTATGTGACCTTGAGCAAGTCACTCTGCCTCTCTGAGCCTCAACATCATCACCTGTAAAATGGGGATAACATTAGTACCTTCTTCACTGTGTTGCTGTGAGGATGAAATAAGCTGATGCATCTAAAGTGTTTAGCACAGTGCCTGGAATATAGCAAGTGTCCTATAAATGTTACCTAATACTAGAACCTACATACTCCATTCCCTGAACCTCCTATGTGCCTAGCCCTATAGTAAGTATTGTCATGGAGAAGAGAGCCCAGAGGAAGTAGCATTCTAAGCCCTGTTCTCAGAGGGCTCAATATCTGTATGGAGAATGAAAATATCTCAGCAAGACAGTCAGCAAATAGAGTGAGACAGGAAATGCTTAGGTGCAAAGGGTGTAGATCAGAGTAGTCAACCAAGGAAGGGCTGCCCGGACAAAGAGTAACTAAAGAAACAATGAAGATGTGAATAAGTGAAGGGGACATAGGATGGTCTGCATCTAAAAGGCACAACAAGAGCAAAGCTATAGAGACGAAATGGAATATAGGTTATCTGGGGGCTGGTGAGAAGACCAGTCAGGAAGAAATGGAGGGTGAGGTAGAAGAATAGATTAGATAGAACAGAACTAAAGCATTCAAAGTCATAGAAAGGTAGCTATAAATACCTGAAATCATAAAGCTCTTAAAGTTTAGGTCCCTGGAATCATTGAATCCTGGGTTTTGGGTGCTGGGGGACACACAGAAGTGGGCCAGTGTCGTGGTAAATAAAAGTATTTACAAAAGGCAAGGAGAAGTTTAAGAACAAAGGAAAAGTTTGATAGGTATGCTGCTACAGGCAACAGTGGGCCACACAGACAAGAGGTGCTTGCGTGTCCCCTGAGTGTGAATGTTCAGGGTCTTTTAGTGAGGAAGGGGCTGTAAACACGAAGGTCTAGGGGAACAGATTTCTGATTAGCTATAAGTGAGGTAAGGGGCTTTGGTATATGGGAGGATAGTGGATTTACAACTCCAGTAAGATGGAGATGTGGGCTGACACAATGAACGTAGTGGAATTTATGATTCCAGTAAGGAGAAGACATGGGCTGAGACAAGTCAGCCTGAGCTACGGTGAGGCTAGTCATTTCCCAGGGCTGCTAATTCTGCTAAGGCAGACACCCAACAAAGAGCAGGAAGACACCTAAGGGCTAGAAGTTTGAGGGAGTCACAGGGCCTCAGTAGGCACCAGTTGGCACTGCAATGGCACAGGAACCATAGAACACATGAATCCTAGCGCTCTGAAAACACAGAGCTTGAACCTTCTAGACCACCTCTGTCCAATAGAACCTTTTTGATGATGGAAATGTTCTAAAGTTCTGAGATGTCCGATACAGTAGCTACTGGCCACATGTGGTTATTGAACACTTGTAATGTGGCAACTGCAAGTGAAGAAACCAAAATTTAAATGTTTTCTTTAATTTAACTAACTTACATTTACATTTAAATAGCTACTTGTGACTAGCAGTTACCATTGGACAGTGCAGGTCTAAGCTTTGGGCCATACTGCTTAAAGAGCATTTTTGACCTGAGAATCCTAGATTTACAGAGTACTGGAGTCAGAGAATGTTAAAACCATACATCACTTAGACCTTAGTACCTTGTATAGAAAGTCTTTCAGTCTTGAACAAGACCTCAAGTCTTGGTCCATCTCCTTCACTTCATCTATATCCCACGGTCTAAAAAGGCCATGAATGTGATCCTTTGTAACCTGCGGGCCAGTGACTACTTCAACATCATCTCCTTTTCTAACACTGTTAGTGTCTGGAAAGCTGGAGGCTCCATCCAGGCCACCACTCAGAATGTCCACAGTGCCAAGGACTACATGGGCCACATGGAAGCTGATGGTGTAAGTGTTAGACTTACCCACCCAGATGGGCAGGCTGTGGTGACATGGGAAATTCTTGAAACACTCCCTTCATTCCATCATCCACCTCACCTTTCACAATGCCTGAAATATCACTATTACTCTTTACACAGATAGGTCCCTTCATCTTTCTGTGTTCGTTTTCCTAGTGGAAAGAGCACAGCTCATTCTCCATGTATTTTAGGGCACATTCCTCTTTGGGCCTGAGTTTCCTCCCCTTTAAAGTGCATACTCAAAAGAATTTGCTGAAACTTTTGTTGTATTTATTTTTATCAATAATCTAGCTATTTATTTACAAGCATTTGAGCAAAGTGCTGCCCTGATTTGGGCTTTTGATCAATCCTCTCTCAGTTAATTACTGAAATGTCCTTCACCCACCACCTCCTGATGACTCAGCACTTTCTGCCCCTGTGCATGGAGGTGGGGATGCTATCCTTGGGGAGCTGCCAATCAGACTAGAGAATCAGACATTCCCCCCAGGAAACAAGCAAAGCAGTCTGAGACAGGGAGTGGTAAAAGCAAAGGACATGTGGGCCCCACTGTCAGATCTCAGGGAGCTTGTGTAGGGGTGGGGAGTTGGAAAAGATAAGCAGTGGAAACAGTCTAAGCAAAGATAAGGAGATATGACTGAGCCTGGGAAGTTGGCGAGGTGCCCAGTGTGTCTGGAATGGGGGTAGAAGTTACTAGAAAAGATGGTCTCACAGTCTGCTCTCCAATTAGGGACTGACATCAATGCATCTCTCCTGGCAGCTGCTTCAGTGCTGAACCATAGTAACCAGGAGCCTGGGAAGGGTCCCAGTGTGGGGAGGATCCCTCTCATCATCTTCCTGACAGATGGGGAGCCCACAGCCGGGGTGACGACCCCAGTGTGATCCTCTCCAACATCCGGCAGGCACTGGGCAACAGGGTGTCCCTTTCCAGCTTGGCCTTTGGGGATGATGCTGACTTTCCCCTGTTGTGTTGCCTGTCCCTGGAGAACTGGGGAGCAGCCCGGCGCATATATGAGGACACCAACGCAGCCCTACAGATGGAGGGCCTCTATAAGGAGCTCTCCATGCCTTTGCTGGCAGACGTGCATCTGGATTACCTGGGCAGTTTGGTTGGGGCCTCCTTTTGGGCCCTTTTCCCCAACTACTTTGGTGGCTCAGAGCTGGTGGTGGCAGGCCAAGTGCAGCCAGGCAAGCAGGAACTGGGCATCCACCTTGGCAGCCTATGGCCCTAAGGGTCAGCTTCTTGTGGCCCACCACAGTGAGGTGGCCACCAACAGCAGCCAGAAAGTCTTTGGTTGCCCAGGGGAGCCAGCCTCCAATGTAGTCCACTTCATACGCCACCTCTGGGCTTATGTCACCATTGGAGAGCTGCTACAAGCATGTTTCCAAACCCACCACTCACCAATTACTGGCTGCCAAAGTCCTCAACCTGTCCCTGGAATACAACTTTGTCACATCTCTGACTTCACTGGCCATGGTGCAGCCCAAAGAAGTCAGTGAGGAGGCCAGGAGACAGACTTCCACCACAGATGGACCAGGCACCATCATGCCTCATCCACTAGCAGGCAAAGCCTAGGGGCAGGCACAGCCCAGCCAGCCTTGGTGTCCAAGGTTTCTCCCAAACCAAGGCTTGTGAAACCAAAGTTCTACTTATCCTCAACTACTCCTGCCTTTACAAAGAAGATGCCTAGTTCCAAGGAATTGGAGCCATTGGGTCATTGCCTTTGTACCCTATCCACCCTTGCACACTGAAAGCCCAAATTTCTGGCACAACAGAATTCTGGCACCTTGGCTCAACCAATGCTCAGGGTGAAACCTGATGCCCTTGTGCCCTCAAATTCTGGTGCCATATTGCTTCTGAAGTCCAATATGCCATTACACCAGAATCCTGATACCCTGTTACCCATGAATTCCAAGACACAAGTCTCACCTCTGAATCCGGGCATCCCAGCCCAGCCCAAAGCTGGCACTATGAAACATATTACTCCCAACCTGGTGCTCCATCACAACCTAAACTAGATGCCTTATCACACCTCCAGCCTGGGCTACTCACATCACAGTCACCCAAAAGCCTGTCACAGCCCTGGCCTAGAATGTCCACACATCAGATTCTCAAAAACCCACCACACATCAGAACAAGGGTTCCTGCTCCCAAGACCCCAAACAACCTGCTGTACCCTAAACCTGAGATCTTCTTACCCAAGACCCCTAAAATCCCATCACCTCTTAAACCTAGTGCCCCACTTCACCAAATTTCCCTAGGCTTATCACTTTCCAAACCTAGGACCCTAATCCCCAATAAACCCCAAACCCTATTATCCACTAGACCTGCCAAACTCAGGCGCCCACCTCCTCAGAGCCTAAGCACACTCCCAAGCACAATCTTAAGCCCCAGCAGTACCATGACCATTTCTGTCCTTGGAGAACCCCTCCCTACTCCCTTTCACCCCACCCTGCCCTCTCTGCTACCCCCTGGGAGGCTCTGGCATCAGCATGACCTGCTGATGGAGCCCCAAAGCACCAGGCAAATTCTGGGACCATCTGCATCAGGAGTCCGGACAATGGGCCTACCCAACAGCTCCAGACTTATTCCAGAAGGCAGCCCCCTAAACCTGCCAGCCTTGCTGCCTTCTAGCACCCTCCCTGAGGCAGTCAGCCTGCTCCTTCAGCTGCTGTCTGAGTCAAGGGTGGAGTCCAAGTTCACGGAGTCTTTGAATCCACTGGCTTTCTGTACCTTCTTCATGCCTGGCAAAGATGGTGAGCGCCACGCGCAAGAAGTCAAGCCACAAAAGGGCTGTATGAATAGCAAACACCAGGAACTGGAAGTGTACAAAGCTCTGCAGGTTCTTGTGATTAAAGCTGCTTGTCTGCTTGCTTGCTTTGAGACTTTGAACCAGCTACTTAACTTCTCTGGGCCTCATATACAGGCACAGAATTAGAGGCCCTGGGAGAGGAGGGGTGTTAAGAATGGGGAATACACATAAATGAACTGGCCAGGCTGTGGCTTTGACATTTGCTTTGTTGGACAAAAGACTTTCTCATGCTTCTCAAGCAGAGAAGGGGTGTGGGGTTATAAATGGTAGCATCACTGGGCAACACTGGTCTGATAGGTTCTTATGTGCTCAATGAAAAGGATATAAAAACTGGGGAAGATGCTGCAATTAATTTCCAAGACTGTGAAGTAATAACAGTTTACACTTTTTAGCTCTTCCTACATGCAGATACTGCTCTACATATTGTACCTGTGTTCCTCATTTAATCCTCACAAAAAATGTTAATATCTGCATTTTACACATAGGGAAACTGAAGCCCAGAGAAGTGAAGTAACTTATTCCATGTCACACAGCTAGTAAGAGATTTGAACTTAATCTGGTCCAGTGTTGAATGTGATTCACCACTTCACTATTCTGCCTTCCTGAGAGGAGAGATGTTTCCTGGGTGACCTTATAGGGCAGGATTAAAACCACTTGGTGGTGTTAGTAAGTCACAGAGATATAAATTTGGGAATGATATCCTTGACATAGCCTTCTCCTTCACCACCCTCCCTCCCAATATCCTATCCATCTTGAATTCATGTTATCTAATGTATTTGTCAAATATACCCACTTCTCACCACCCCAACTGTCACAATTGTAGGGCAGACTACCATTGTGTCTCACCTAGAAAACTACTCCAACTTCCTCACTGGTCTCCTTGCTTCTTCTCTTGAGAGATTCTCTTGGTCATTTTCCACCAGCAGCCAAAGGGGTCATTTAAAAACAAAGACCATTTCACATTTCTTCCCTACTTAACACCCCTCAAGGGTTTCCCATCACACCTAGAATAAAGTCCAAAGTCTTCTTTATGGGCTACAAGGCCCTACATGCCTTCTCTCCCATACCCCTCTGAACTCAAGCCCCACTGGCTTTTTCTCTGTTCCTCCAATGGGCCCTACTCCCATTCCTGCCTCCACTCAGGGACCTCTTCCAAGCTATTCCCTCTGCTTGAAAATCACTCTGACTTGCCTTGCCCTGTCCTCTTCCTACCACCCTCATCTCTTCTATTACCCCTCGAACTCCAGCTCATGCCTTAGACTTCAGCTCAAATGTCCTCAACACTTTCACTGCCCCAGACTATGTAAAGTATCTGCAAGTCCCTCAGTCAACCTATAATTTTTTTTCTTATAGCATTTATCACCATTGGTAATTATAATTTCATTCATGTCTGCCTCCCTAACTAAAATAAGAGTGTCACCAGGTCAGGGATTATGACCACCTTTTCCACCATCATATCTGTGATGCTTGAAGAGTGCCTGAATGAATAAATAAATGAACAAATGAATGTGTGCATAAATGCTATAAGGAAGAATTTTGAGCATAACTGAGCTTGAAAGACTAAGATGCTATAGAACACATAAGGCCTGTCTTGACAATGTGCAGGTCAGATTTGGAAGCTAATGAGGACTCTCCTGGTCAGAGGGAAGGTGTGCCTTTTGATGGACTTAAAGTATCTTTGTCCTGAGAGTGTGAAAGATTTTTTTTATTACTTTTATGCTTGGCAGGAAATCCACACTGGGATGGCCATTCTGAGGAGATCCTGGGGGGAGCTGGAGGCAGCATGGAATCTCAGGGAAGTTCTGCAGGACTAGCAAAAGGTGAACAAAGAGCTCCCCTGACAAAGATCCCTGAGCTTTCATTTCCGTTCAATTAGAATTCTCATAAGAATTGTGTGAGCCCAAAGGAGGAGCAATGTATTAGTTTCCACTGTTGCATAATAAATTACCACAAACTTAGTAGCTTTAAAACAACACCTATTAATTATCTCACATTCTATGGGCCAGAAGTTTAGGCACAATTTAGTTAGGCTCTCTGCTCAGGGCTTCACAAGACTAAAATGAAGGTGTCTATAAGACTGAGTTCTCTTACTCTTCCATGTTCATTCGAGTGGTTGGCAAAATTCAGTTCTCTGTGTTTGTAAGACTGAGATTCCTGTTTCCTTGCTGATTGTTGGCTCTCAGCTTCTAGAGGCCACTTGGACCATGTTCAGGTCCTAAACGTTTCCTGCATTTCTTGCCATGTGGCTTCTTTGTGTCATCAAAGAGAATCTCCCTCATGACAAATCCTTCTCATACATCAAATCTTACCTGTCTCTGACCTCCAGACCCAGATTTAAAGGGCTCAGGCAGATCTGGCTAATCTTCCAATTTTGTCAGCTGCACCACAGAACATAACTTATTTGTAAGAGTGATATCTCATCATATCAGTCCTGGGGATTTTACAGGGTGAGTACACTGGGGACTCTTAGGGGCCATCTTAGAATTCTACCTACTACAAGCAAAGGGCAAGAGAAAATAAATAGCAATTGAGTTGGCCTGGAAGGATAAGTAGAAATCAGTTCTTGGTAATTAAGGGAAAGCAGAACATTCCAGGTGGCAGGATAAAATAGAAGCAAATGATCACTAGCAAAACAAGCCAGGGCACTCAAAAGAATAGTCAGTTCAGCTGGGCTGGAGCATACAGAGAAGACTAGACAGCTAGGCAGGGACTAAATTTCAGAAAAGACTTAAATGCTGAGCTCAGGAATTTGGGCTTTATCTGGAAGGAGGTGACTGAGAGGCCAGAGGGTCCCAGAGTTCCTAGGAATGTTATAGATCAGTCTCTTACCAACACAATCTCCCTTTAATTTGTAAGCTTGTTACCAAGCATCTTCACCTTCTCATCCTCGGGTAAGCCAGCCACTCTCACTGTCCTGTTTGAGTATAGGCCAGTTTGTGCAGTGGGACTGGGACTGGGCTGCCTCTCTAGGGAAATAGACATGGCCCTCCACCTTCCCCTCCTCTTTCCTTCCCTCTCCTCCTCTCCCACTCCTTCTAGGGCCATAAGTTCAGAGTTGTGTCTCCCGCCTTGCAGTGGATGGGGACCCCCACTTTATGATCCATATCCCACACTTGGAAGAGAGGATTTGCTACACACTGGGCGGGCGCCCAGGGGATCTGCTGCAGCTCATAGATGACCCAAAGGCAGGTGAGAGCCCCAAGGACTCCACCCCTTATAACTTTACAGTCAGATATACATATAGCAACACACTCAGACGTTTGTGGACTAATACAAACACATGGCAGTGCACCTCACTAACACACAAGTACATACCCAGACACGTAAAACACACACAAATATACTCTAACACCAGGACAGATACACACATACAGACACACACACACACACACAGCAGGGCATATAGTAAACTCACACAAATACACACCCAGGAACACATATTTTGACATTTTTCACACAGTAACACATAAATGACAGACAATACATGCCTAGATATACACAATGATACATACATCAACACACTCAGACATATGTGCACTGATACCCCCAGATTCATCCCAATACACAGGAATTTAGCACACACAAGCACACATATTCTGCTACTATAGACATATGAAACACACTGATGCACCCAAATACCATGACACACACTCAGATGCATGCACACTGACACCTCCAGATACACAATATGTACCAACACACAACCAGACACACACAGCATAAACTATTCACCAAGACGTATAATACCAGCATATCCAGAGATGCATATAAACATACAACCAAACAATTACACACGCTACCATAGTGCCTTCCCTAAATATCAGATGCACTGATACGCCCAGAGATACTCATATGAACAGAACCAAACACACATATTTACACACCCAGAGGCAAACACATACATGCAAATAGCCCCACAAGGGTAAGCATGCACACATATGCATATGTGCCCACACCACACAGGAAGGAGCAGTTGGATATGCTGTGGTAGAAGCACTTTCCTCAAGAGCTAGCTCTTTAACCACAGATCTGCAGTACTTCATCTGGACTTCAATCCCTGAGACTTCACCCCTGCCTGTGCTGTGGGTGACCATGTGAATGACCATGTGAAAGTCTGTGCTCCCCACATGCATTCTTTTCCCTCCAGGGCTGCATGTGCGTGGACAGCTGCTTGGGGCACCATCAAGGCCAGGCCACAAAGACCAGATCCGCACCTACTTCCAGATCATCACAGTTACTGCAGACAAACTCCGGGCCTACACTGTCACCATTACCCGCAGCTCCATATCTGTGCGAGGCAAGGGTACCTTGTTCCTGTCCTGGGACCAGCCTGTCCTACTGAGGAGGCCCCAGCTGGAGCTCCATGTGGCTGCTGCAGCCTGCCTCACCCTTCGCCTTGGGCCCCACCTCAAGTTTCTAGTTCTCTGGCACTGCTACAGGAACCCCAGCACCCTGCAACTACCCAACCTGGGGTTCTGTGTGGTCAATGGCTCTGGTCTCAGCCCCTCAGCCCATGGCCTGCTGGGTAAGTGCTACTGAGGCTGAGAGGGGTCAGGGAGCACCAGTCCCAAGAGAGACCCTGCAAGGGTAAAAGGCCAGTAAGCCCCCAGCACCCTGACCTCCAAACCACAAACAGGAATCAGAGCCAAGCTCTGCCCTTGGGGAGCACCTGGTCCAGAGAGAAAATAGATCAGACATGATTTTTTTTATTTCCTCTGAGTCTTCCCACTCCTCCAATCTGCCTTGTCATCTCCTTGAAGGACTGTACCCCTTCTGCTGCCATCTCATCCACCCTGGCTCTCTACTTTCATACTACACTCCTGTCCCATCTGGCTCAACATTTCCCACAATGCCCAGCCTCTTCCGTCCCCCTTTGCTGCCCATCTTCCCTCTCATTTTTCCTTCTAGGTTTCCTGCTTTAGGATCCTTTCAGAGCTCTCAGTGGGACTCAAACCACTACCCTTACTGGCGCTGCATCTCTTTCCCTTAGGGCAGTTCCATCATGCAGACATCCAGCTGGTGGCAGGGCCTATGGGGACACCAAGGCCCAGATGTGCCTGTGGTCCTAGGCAAGAGGCTGCTGAAGGAATCACTGAGGCTGCTGCCCCGCTAGGCTTCCTGCTGGCTGGTAAAATGCTCTCATGTACAGCAGCTGCTGGGCCACCTCTACCTTGCCTATGTCATGTGATGGCCCCTGAATCCCAGAGCCAGGAGACCTGAGTTTGAGAGACCCAGAAGCCAGGGCATAGAGTGACCCAGGAACAAAGACCTAGGGACATGGAAACACACAGGGACACAGACACACACACTCACATATGCTCTAAGTGACACATACACAAAGACACACAAACTCACAGAGATGTGCAGATCGATACACTTAGAGGCTTAGGGATTCCTGCCTCTTCACAGTCCTTAGAGTCTTCAGTCTCTACTCTCTTCAATACAATCTCCACAGCAGCCTTAAAAGTGACTTCCTTAAAACAAAACAAAAAAAATGAGTCACCAGTCCTGCTCACAACCTTCTCTGGTTCCCATGGCATATTTAAGCCTCTTGCAGTTCCCCTAACAAACTATGCTGTCTCCTACCACTGGGCCTTCTTATGTGCTTTTTCCTTCTGCATGGGACTCCCTTCCTTGGCTTCATGTAGGTAAATTTTACACATCCTTCAAGTCTTAGTTGTCATTTTCTCTGTGAGTCCTTCCCTGACCCCTTCTATAGATTGAGTTTGGTCCCCTCCTGTTTTCTCCTAGCCCATCCCACTCCATTCAAGCTCACTTATCATACTATGTAATAATCATCTATTTACTTGTCTGGATCCTTGACTTAGACTGTGAGCTTTTTGAGAGCAAGGACATTTTCTGAATCATCTATGCATCCCCAGTGCCAAGCACATAGCAGGTGCTTAGTAAATACTTGCTGACTGAATGAATGAGTTTTTTAAAAAGATCCCACAATGCAGCAGCAGACAGACATATATAGATACTCACAACCAAAGACACAGCATCAAACACAGAAAGTCAGGCAATGAGGACACAGACATGGATGGAGAAAGAAAGAGAGACATACGGAAACACAAGGATATCAAAATAAAGAGAATGGACAAAAAGATACATAGACATACAAAGCGAAGGGGAACAGGAAGCCAGAGTGACAACATCAGGGACATAAACTCAGAGAAGCCAATGCTCTCTTGCTGGGCTTCTGTATCCCCATTTTGAGATGCTGTGCCTGTCACAAAGAGGCAGGGAGACAAAAATGAGTTCACGCAGGGACAGGCACACAATGACTAATGTGAAGGTACTGAGATATAACAACATACAAACTAAAAGATAGAGATGCACAGAGATCCAGACATAGGGGCAGAGGGGTCAAGACACACAGTGACACACAGAGACACAGAAGTAACCAGGGAGGCATCAGTTAAGACCACAGTCCAAGACACCAAGGACAGAGAGATAGAAACAGAGACATGATGACATTCAGACATGAGATGGAGGATGGGAATAAAATATAAAGACACAAGACCAGAGACCTACAAGAACAGAGAAACAGAGACCTTACACAGACCCAGACTTGGTGACAAAGACCCAAGGACACAGGCACATGCAGAAGAACACACTAAGAGTAGGACAGGAGCACAGACTTATATATCCAGTGACAAAAACATGGCAATGCAGACACCTTAACAGTGACAAACACCACCAAAGAGATAGGTCTCAGATCAGGTAACAGAGACATAAGGACAGGCAAGATGAACACCCAGGAATAATGCAGATATTGTGACACAGTAAGAGGGACACAGGAATTTAGAGACAGAGATCCTAGAACAAGTAGTCATGGAGATGTGAACCCACAAATATAGTCATATGTATACAGGCTAGACATAGGGACAGAAACTCTTCTGGAAGGATCAAGGTAGAACCAAAGAAACCTAGACACAGAAAGAGACACACAGAACACAAGCAAATGGGCTGAGACACAAAATCAAGATACACCTGGGGATGCCCACAAATAGAGACACACAGGCAACCAAGGCCACAAATGAGGGGATGGGGACAGTGAATCAGACCCAAGGACACAGAGATAGTCAAAAATTAAAAGACATGGTTCCAGACTTCCAGACACGAGACATGAACAGAGAGACAGGGACACAACGGTGCTGAGTCATATCAAAACAAAACCAGGGACAGGGCAAGGTGGAAAGAGAAACAGATGCAGAGAGACACCTTGACAAACAGACCCATAGTAACAAGAACACAGTCATGGGGATCTAAAGAAAAAGACCCAAGGACTGAGAAAGAGAGATATTGAGACACAAAACAACTTAAGACACAGCCACAGCAACATCAAGAAAATAATACAGAAATATTGGCAAAAGCTGGGGAAAATAAATGAAGAAGTAAAATAAATACCAAATCACAGACATAGAGAGTCAAGCCCCAGAGATGCACAGATTCAGGGACTCACCAACAAAGGGCACATGGAAGAAGTCATATGCAGATTCATGAACACTAGACACTAGAACATTCTAGAGTCATGAACATTCAGCCAATAGAACACAGATGCTCAGAGAGAGACACACCCAGACAGAGGAATACAGAGACTCTGAGACACACACTGGATAACAGAAGTTCAGAGACATGCAAAACTTAGGGATGCACAAAGACAGGAAAACACAGATACTGGAAAACAGAGGCTCATGGATGTCCAGAAACAGAGAGGCACAGACACTAGATCACTCAGAAAGACTCAGGGACATGCAGACTCAGGGGTGCACAAATGACTGAAGGACACAATAAAGACTTAGGAAGGTGCAAAGATTCAGGGACATATAAAGAATCAGGAGCACAGGAACTCAGTGATGCACAGAAAAAGGGATACATAAACACTCAAACAGAAAGGCTCATTGGATGCCCAGTCACTGAGACACAGATATCCATAGGCACACAGAAACAGGGAGACACAGACACTAGATAACAGAGGCTCAAGATATGCAAAGACTCAAGTAGTTTCAAGAACAAGGATATAAAGACACTAAGAAACAGATCAGAGGCACACAGGAACAAGGACATAGAAGCAGGGGAATACAGACAGAGACTCATGGATACCCAGAGATGGAGATATACAGACGCTGAAACAGAGACTAATAGGATGTATAACACATGAATGCATAAAGAATGGGACACAGAAATTCACAGACTTACAGGGATCCAAGGATATGCAGATACTGGATGACAATATACAGTGGAAACCACAGACATAGAACACAGAGACACTGGAACACAGAAGCCATGGAAAACTAAAATATGTAGACACTGGAATAGTTGCTTACACTGATATTAAGACACACACTGCCATTGGGAAATATAGGCAACTACTAACACACACACAGACACTGGAATATATGAATACTTAACACACATAGACACTAGAACAGATGTCAAAACACACAAGGAAGCTGGCACAAAGAGACAATGGAACCAGACACTGCCACACAGGTACTGGGAATCACAGAGGGACACATAAAACCTGGGACACACACTCCACTAAGATGCAAGGAAACTGGGATATAGACACTGAAGCACACAAAGTCTGAAGCTCAGAGATACACACAGCATGCAGACACTGGGACACACAGACAATAGAATACAGATATAAAGACACAGACGTAAGGACATATAAAAACACTGAGACACACAGACACTTTGCCTCACAAACAGTGGAACAAGCAAACACTGGAATAGATATATACTGATGTACACTGACATTAGAACCACAGAAACTGGGACACACCCTAGGACAGTTACTGAGGCACATACAGACGGAACCATCACAGAACTGGGCCATATAAACACTGGGTCAAACAGATATTGTGACACACAGACACTGGGTTATTGGTACTGAAGTACACAGAAACACTGATACTGAGACATATGCAACATGCAACTGGTCACTGGGGTGACCCACATAGCCACATACCACATACCATGGGACATACAGAAATTGAGGAACACAGATACTGGAACACACACAGTCACCAAGATAAAAATACACTAGAACATACAGTCATTGGAACATAAACAAATACTGAAACACCCAGACATTAGAGTACAGAGAGGTTGTGATTCACAGGCACTGGGAATTACACAGACATTGTGACATACAGTCATTTTGACACACAGACACTGGTGTACAATCAGGAGTAGAGACAAGAAATTGGAACTTATAAACATTGAAGTACACAGACACTGGGATACATAAACATTGAGACACACAGCTACTTCGATGTTCAGACACTGAGACACAGCCCCTGAGACACACAGATACTTGGATGGCCAGAGACACTGGGGGATACAATCACTAGGGCACTCAGGCACTGGGAAACAAGGTCTGCAGTCATTGAGACAACCACTGGGACATACAGACACTGAGACACACAGACACTGACACATAGAGATGTTGTGGTACACAATGGAACACACAAACACTGGGTTCCCCAGAAACTAGGACATACAGACACCAGAAAACATACAGACACTGAGATACACAAACACTAATACCAAACACTTATGCCTACAGATTTTGAAACACACAAACTAGGACATACAGAAAGTGTGATATAGTCACTGAGGCACACAAACACTGAAACTCAGACACACTACAACATGCTGACATAGAGACACAGTCACTGAAACATGCAGACACTGGGATACGCAGACAAACACACAGAAACTGGAGTTAAGACGCTAAGGCACACAAAACACTGAAACACATTGGCACACTGAAACATGCTTACTCTGGAACACACAGTCACTTTGAAACACACAGTGGGACAAACAGACATTGACACAGGCACCAGAACATAGTCATTGGGATTTGCATAGACAATAGGACGCATAGACACTGGAACTTACAGACATAGGGATACACTGACACTGGGACCTATAGACACTTTTCACAGATATTGAGACACACAGACACTAGTACAAAAACACTAGGCATACTGATTAGGGCAGACACTGAAGCACACAGAAACACTAAAATTGAGCTACACAACCAACATGCTGATACTGTGACACACAGACCCGGGGGGCACATGGACACTAATGCACTCATTTACAGAGATAAATAGAAATTGATATATATAGACATTGTGGTAGATAGACACGAGACACAAAGACCTTAAG